AATCACTGACTAAATTATGCGCATTTTGTTTTTTCCCCGATTTACACGGTTTTTCATAGAAAAAGCCATGATTTCGATTTACACGGTATTCTGAGGAACCGATCGTCCGTGTAAATCGGGGGACAGGTGTATTTAGAAGGAAGCGTCAAACGAACGTTTTGGAGCACAGATTGAAAACTGACTCGTTGGAGGGCAGACCGATACAAATAGCGATCTAAGAGCACACTGCTCACTTATAGCATAGAATCATAGTTAAAATAAACCAGAATATTCTAGTCCCAAATACTTGGTCGGTCCTTCGAGAACAAAGCACAGCCGAGCTCGGGAAAAGATTAGTTTAAACATCACGGGTTTAAAAAATTTCTTTCAGAGTAGGATAAATGAAGCGTGAGACTCTTGGAAAGCAACAAATTTGAATAAATCACAAAAACATTCTTCTCGGTATCCTAAAATAGAACATTTGCCCAACCTAACCCTAAACAACATTTACCGTAAACGTGACACTTGCCAAGCTACCAACCACCTGATTAACTTCACAGTATCACGAAAGTTTCAGCGCAGAAAGTTCGTGCTGCAATTGCTACGGTAGCTATCTGCCGCTGAGCTCGTCAAAATTTTAGAGGCGCGCGTGTCCCTCGATTGAAATCACAATGGAAGAAGCGGCGAGGGGTGGAACGAAGCCGAAGAAGAGGCGATCCAATTCCGAGGAGAACAATAAATACGACCCGGTGAACCAGAGACACGGTTTCCCAGAAACCTTCTGTCTCTCGATGTAAGGTCGGTTCGCACGCGATAATCGATCGTACCTGTCACCGCGACCTAGCGTCGGGAATGGCCACGATTTCTGCACTACGAATACAGCTGTACACTCTGCAACGTGGCTATTTAAAAATATACCATTCACTTGAACATCGACTTATCGTAAAAACGAAAGAAACAATTTTTACCGCAATTTGATTGAATTTTGAAAAGTAGAATCACTCCGACAATACTGACAATACTTCGTGAGAAAACTCTACGAGTCGTCTGAGAATGTTTTCGTTATTTGAAATCGAAAGAATTTTCGTACTAGCGTGAAGGAATGGAGAAAAGAGACAGTGTGAAGGTGTGAAGCGTTTCTTTCCTGGGCCTCCTAGTGGTCTCGTCAGTGAGGCTTAAAGGACTGAAAGACCTCAGGTCAGAAGTGTAGGAATCGAGGAAAAATTTTGGGGACCTACGTCAACAACTCCCTCTCTATTTTCCCTGGTCGGTTTCCTATTTGGGTACAGAGGCCCCGATACTACAGAAGTTATATTATACGTTAGAAATATGGTTATAGAAAGGCGAACGATAGCTATTAATGATAGTCAATATAAAACTCTAATACGCGAGATGGACAATTTATGTATCTCACTGTTCTGAGGTTTCGGGGTAAGTGCCGTGAGGGTGTTCACAGTCCTCTTACCAGAAGTCTCCCCCACACCGTGGCCAGATCCTTTGCGAACAACGCCCCTATTTTTAAAGCAATTGCAAGCAATCTCCCGCCTTCTTCCAAACAACCACAGCCCCCTATCACACCCGGATAGCTACGTCATTTCGAGTCACTAGCGATCGTTGGTCGTCTGGATTGTCTCCTATCCGGCCACACCGCTATCCTATCCGGTAAATTCTACGAAAGAAAAACTTGTCTTCGACGACCCTTAAAAGATTACGCTGGCGCTAACATATATATAGAAACGAGAGCCTCTACGAGGACTAGCGAGAATTCGCGGTTACTCCGTCCCTCTGGTGGCAGAACGTAGGAGGTTCGCTACAAGCGTAATTCTTGAAAGGGCCAAAAAAAAAAGAAGCAAAATTCCGTACGAGATGAAATTCTCACCTTGCCTCGAAGAATCTTCTGGCTCTCCCCAGCGAGGACAGATCAGCGAATGCTCGTCCTTCGATTACGATTCTCTCCTCTTGCTGCTACAGGGGTTGGCCTGGCGCGAGATGGTCAGACGGTCGAGGGATGCAGCAAGCAGCGGCGGCGGCGGGAAAAATAGGGGCTTGGCGCGACGAGAGGGCAGCCCGATTCAAGCTGTGGCCCTTTTGTCCGACGGGCAGACGTGTCGAGGGTGCTTTATCGCGATTCACTCGATAAGCTCGGCGTAGTCGCTGCGAAGGCGAGGACGCGGCCTCTTGCAGCGTTAGGGTGCCACAGCCAGGCCATCCAGGAGGAACGTGGCGCTTCCTTAATTCGATTTAACCCCCCCCCCCCCCTCGTTCCTTCGGGTTTCGTGGAATTTTCTCCGGATTTCCACCTGGACTATGTATCTTGCCAGACGTGTGCAAGATTTGCCGAGAGATGGAGGGTGTACTCCCCGTTTGTGGGTCTCGAATCACGCTTCTGGAAAATTCAAAGAAGGCGACTCGTTAGATTTCTGAGTTTTTCTCGTTTTGTGGGTTTCTTGGTAAAATAGCGTTGATTATTTTAACGGAAACCTTTATGCGACACGTGGTGAAAAATGTTTGTGGAATGTAAGCATTAGTTGAGCGAAATACATCTGAAACCCAGAATTACAAGACATCCAGGATATCGAAACACTTAAATTAGGTACTGTCGCAACAGAATGAAAAGACGCAACATTTCCCTCCACGTCGACGATAGCACATGGGTGGTACAGGTCACGTGACAGCTAATGGTCGACACCACACTTTACCCTCTTTTTACACTTTCAACGCTTTCTCACTGGGTGAAATTTCAGGGGAAGAGTATTCGCAACGTTCGAACTAAAAGGAAATAACCTAACCTCAGTTTATAACGTGGTAATTTAATCTTGAAAAAATTATTCAAGGTTCTAATGAATCAAGAATGATCCACTTTCACAGGAAATGGATTTCATACTACCGGAAAGACGAATTTACTTTTTCCCAATGAATCGGAGAAGCTGGAACGACCGGTGGACATTCTAGCAATTATCGTATGCTAATAAACGTCGAGCGGATCGGCTTATCGGCGAAGAAAATCGCGCACAAATCGAACGACTCGAGCGTAACGGCGAGGATCACCGACCGTAAGGGGATTTGCACTCGGAAAATCTCCGTATTGCTATTCGATTTATCGCGAGCCGCGGTTTTACTGAACAATACCAATTACTCGTATGTTAATAACGACCTCCGTACGTATGTGTATATATATATATCGATCCCACCCCTCCCTTTGCACCGCCATTCTCCGTGACGATTCCATAAACAACGGCAGTGTGCGCATTTGAATTTTAAAACCGGTCCATTGGCGCGCGCGCGCGCTCACACGGATCGATTCATTGGCCCCACGAATATTTCGGATTGTTTACTCAGATCTGGAGAAAGTTTCGTATGTTTTTCCACCGTGAAGAAAAATACGATTCGACTTAATTTTCGACTTTTTTCGCGTTATTAAATACGACGAGTTTTATTCTCGCCGATCGTGCGAAATCGGACACCCTGTATGCGTGCTCAAGAGACTCATGCTGTCCTCAATTTCGAATTCGCTTCACGATACAACGTTTAAGGAAAATTTTCTGACAGTTACGGCAAATTGGTATTTCTAGCACATTCGAGGTGATAAAAGAATCGTGAAAGGAGGAAGATTGGCGAGAACAGCTGATTCACCGTTTTAAGTAGAATCGTACCGTCGCGAGTCGGACTCGCGCGCGTCACGCAAGAGGGACTCATGGAAAGGACTATTTCCACGGAAGAACTCCGACGATCGTCGAACCGCAACGGAGCATCGGAAGCTGGGAGAACATTCCGATACGCCGCCGAGGGTAACACTTCCTGTCGTTCGAACGAATCTTTACGCGAGAAAAAATTCTGCCCACGCCAATGCATACTTTCCCCTTTTATAGCCCCGTGAACAGAGGCCTCAGATACCACATAATCCCTTTAAAAGTTTCTGTATCGTAGTTTATGGGGATTCTGAACTTTCATAGTGGGCGGGAATGCGTAAAAATTGACGCTACCGGGTGTTTCATAATAGATGTGGTACGGAGAATCTTCGAGGATGTCCAGTCCTCTCGGAGGACTTTAGGTTACAGTTCGTGAAGAGTCGGAACTTAACTGTGAGAAAGAAACTGAGAAATCAGGCTTACAGGGTGTTTCATATTGAGGATCCTACTTAGAAGACTCGTTTGTGACTTCTGATGGCGCATAGACCGCTTAAAACTTCTTACATTACACTTTAGGCAGATTCGAAACTTCGATGAACGGCAGAAATCTAAAGAACTTTCAACTACAAGCTGCTTAACACTTTCAAAAACATCAACCGTCACCTTCTACCTCCAGAAACTTTCCCAAAATACCGGTCACCAACTTTGCCCTTCGTACAAGTTACTACCAACCTCCTGCCAATCCCCAAAAAGACATTTACCACTTCCCCCTTGCCGCGATAATTCAAATCCCCCCACCGGAACCACCCACAATCTCCACTAACTATCCAAAACATGCTCACCGTCAACCAAACACCCCGTCTTCACCTCAAACACCCCGTGAAACCACCTCCAACTCAACCACTCTACCGCCGTACAACAAAAACATCCTCAACCAATCGCAATTACCAACAAACACCACTGCCCTCTCCAAAAACATCGACCACTCGCGTATCTCTTCTATTCTTCACGATTTCCCTCTCGGTTGAGAATAGAAAACGAACCGGATGGTCGTACGCGTGTTACTCGCTACAGAAAGAAAGAAAGAGGGAGAGAGAGAGAGAGACAGAGCACGCGGGCTCCCGGAAGCTGAGGAACGCCGGGAGTCACGGTGGAGGGGTTGGCGGGGAGCTAGCGTACGCGAGCTCGAACCACGCCGTACTGAACGCTCGTCCCGTGCGGAATAGTTTTGACACGCCGCCGGCTATATCCGCTTTTCCGGCGACGCGACAACCCGCCACCGCGCATGTGCCGATATAATCCACGCTCCTACGGCTCCGTACACGCGACTCACACGTGGAAATGTTCCGACCATGAGCACA